CTCACCCCTGACTGAGAGGCTCATCCGCAAGGCAGCTACTGTCCATCTTATGTAGTGACCCAGGCCAAGTCCTTGGTCTACAGCTCAGCACTGACCTCCTGGCATTGGGTTGACTTGTCTGGTTGGGTTAGAATTAGGAAACAGAGGATAAGATTCAGTCCTGAGCAGAATCCTCCAAATCAGTAGTTTGATAGAAATAGGGGATACAAGTTAATTTTGAATGTTATTCAGACGTCTCAGGGCCAACATGTATTTTTAAGCCTCTGGAACCCGAGCAGTGCTATTATTTGTAGATGCCTTGAGCATTGGATTTTCTTGTCCTGAGGCTGGCAGTCAGAGCAGAGCTGTGGCCAGCTCAGCTGGGAGGTATAGAAATGCCTTCCACATATAACGGGTACTGTGAAAGCTTTTCATTTACTTTTTCTTATATTCTACACAGGTTCTGCTGTCCCATTTCCCTGGGGGTGGGGATTCCAGTGAGCTGCCTGGGGTTCCAGCTAGCAGAGGATTTCCCTTTGAGTGGGGGAGGGGACTCTGCTTCATTGGCTTTGGTTGTCAGCCTCAGACTGCTGCACCTGCCACCATCCCTAAAGATGAGGGGAAGGATGGCTTCTGTGTCCCTGGGGAATTTGGTGGTGCCAACTGGAGCTTCTCTGAAACTGCACATGGGAGTGAATCTTGAGGGGTGTGGCTTCCCTGGCAGACCTGATTCTGCTCCTATGCGTAGGTCTGAGCCCTGAGCCCAGAGCTGCTCTGCTGTGGCAAATAATGAGAACCCTGACATGGCTGCCACAAGACTTCAACCCATCTCCTGCTTCCGTGACTGGGACATCCTCCTGGAAGTGCTGGTGCAGGCTTGATGCTTCCTCTGGAAGGGCAGGTGCAAATGCAAAGATGTTCCTCAGGTCCCTTCAGTTCCCACTCAAGTGTGGATTGATTGGGCAGGTCTCCCAGGGGATACGGAGGTCTCCATACTCCCCAACTTTTGCTCAGTCTGCCCAGACCTGGACAAATTCTGGGCATTAAAATCATTTAACTGGTTCTTGTGATTATTCACTCCTATGGGCACCTGTGAGCATCTATCTCCTAGGTGCCAGGTTTGGGTTGAGTCCTGGGTCAATGGGCAACTCCTTCAATTTTCAATGGAGGGGGCAGCAAGTCAAGAAATTGTATAATTGCTGTAGGATTTTAAGAGGTACTTTCTCACTGGGACAGGTGCCCAGTGGGGAGCCTCCACATGATTTTTTTTTTTAAATCGGATACCAAATGATACATAATTTACCCTGGAAGCAGAAGCCTTCCTCCCTCTTTCAGGAAGCCTGTCACCCTGGCTGTGGGCTGGCGACAATGCCTTCTCTTTGCCTGACGGCCCTCAGCACCTGCTCTTGCTATTACCCCACTTTCTGCTATGATTTCTCTCTGGTCAGGAAGCGTAAGCTCTGTACCACCCAGCTACTCGGTGGCTTCCACTGAATCCCTGCCTGTAAAAGCTGGTGTGTAGGCTTTAATGAAGAACAGCATGAGTCTACCCAGTACAGACACTGATTTAAAGACAAAGTGTGAGTGTCTGTGTCTGTGTGTGAAGAGATGGCCCCATAGTTAAGATCAGATGTTGCTCTTCTAGAGAGGACCAGAGTTCAGTTCCCAGCACCCATGTGGCAGCTCACAACTGCCTGTAACTCCAGCCCTCAGGGGATCTGACACCCTCTTCTGGCCACTGTAAGCATCTGCATTCCTTTACATATTCACACATCAACAAAAAAGGAATAAAAGTGTATTAGTAAAGCCTAAAGAAATTGCAAATAGTGAATTATTAATTTAGGGGTATGCTTTACTGATCATCTACTATGAATGATATGATACAAAGTGAAGTGTTGGTGGACTTGCAGATGCAGTGACCTAACTCTTTAGAGGGCACAGAAGGAATGGGGAAGGAATGGGGCCAAGAACTCTCCGGGCTTGGACCGTATGTAGATCATCTGCCACTATGGTTCTGCCCATCCTCTTGGGTATGAGTCACGAGAGCCTGGCTCTTACAATTCCAGATATGGTGCAGGTCACACGGAACTGGTCACCATCCCTGGCAGGTGGGAAAGCTTGGGCTCAACAAAGCCAGCCTGCCTACTGGTGTGCAAAAAAAAAAAAAAAAAATGCAGAGAACACAACCAAACTTGGTCTTGCGGTTCCCTCTATCCAGGCCACCCCTAGACTTCCTTGAGCGACAGTCCTTGAAGCTGGCTGGCTCCGTCATCCTCACTCTTCTTCAGTTTAATGAA